ATGCGTGACGTGCCTGGCGGCTGGTTTATCCGCTATATGCACTCCACAGGCGCTTCGGCATTTTTTGTCGTAGTCTATCTGCACATGTTTCGCGGCCTGCTCTATGGCAGCTACCGCAAACCCCGAGAATTGGTATGGGTGTTTGGCTGCGCGATATTTTTATGCTTAATGGCCGAAGCTTTTATGGGCTATTTACTGCCATGGGGACAGATGAGCTACTGGGGCGCTCAGGTTATTGTCAACCTTTTTGCTGCCATCCCAATCATAGGCCCTGATTTGGCGCTCTATATACGCGGAGACTATGTGGTGGGCGATGCGACTTTAAACCGCTTTTTCGCATTTCACGTCATCGCAGTGCCTCTGGTTTTGATAGGACTTGTCGTTGCGCATTTGCTGGCTTTACACGATGTAGGCTCGAACAATCCTGACGGCGTAGAAATCAAAAAAGACAAAGACGAGCGCGGCATTCCCAAAGATGGCATCCCGTTTCACCCCTACTACACAGTGCACGATATTTTGGGTACAACGGTGTTTTTATTGGTGTTTTTTGCCGTTTTATTCTTTGCTCCGACTTTTGGCGGCTACTTTTTGGAGTTTAACAATTTCATTCCCGCAGATCCGCTGACTACGCCGCTGCATATTGCCCCTGTGTGGTATTTCACCCCTTTTTACTCCATGCTGCGCGCTACTACCTCTGCAATGATGCCGTTTTTGTGGCTCTTCTTAATCGTTGTCGGTGTGAGAGTTGTACGTCCTTCCCACTGCTCCCAACACGCTAAAACAGCATATTGGGCTATGGTAGCGCTGTGCTTTTTTCTCTTTGGCGTTCTCTCCTCTGTATTGAGCTGGTTTGACATTACGCTCACAGGAGCTTTAGGCGCTGTATTTGGCGGCTTGGATGCAAAATTTTGGGGCGTTGTGGTAATGGGAGCCTCGGTAGTGATTTTGTTCTTTTTGCCTTGGCTGGATAAATCTCCTGTCAAATCGCTACGTTACCGCCCAAGCTGGCAAAAATGGATATACGTCGCTTTTGTTATTTGGTTTCTAATTTTGGGTTGGCTGGGCATAGAGCCGCCATCAACCATCTACACCATCATTGCACAAATTGGCACCTTGTTTTATTTTGGTTTCTTCTTATTGATGCCTTGGTGGTCGCAATTGGGTGAACCTAAGGTGCCTCCCCAGCGCGTTATTTTCAAAGCCCACTAAGCGTCAGGAAAAGGAATACATCATGAAATTTTCAAAAAAAATATTCTTTGTTTTGTGGCTTAGTTTGGTCTGGGCATCGCATGGCT